TCTTTCATTTATTGATTATTTTCGAGAAAAATATGACTCTATTTTTTAAGGAGAAATCAAAGGTGTTTGAAAATTTTCAAAAAATTAAACTTCTTGTTAACAGGAAAGTGGCGTTAACATCAAGGTCATTAGATCTTATCATCGAGGAAAATTCACATCCAATGAATTTCAAAGGTATTGTGAAGATCATGGAATTTGCCGTCCTTTAACAGTACCAAGATCCCCCCACAAAAATGTAGCAGAGAAAAAAAAAAGAATAATTCTCAACATGGCTCGAAGTATGCTCGAATGTAAAAGAATGCCCAAAAGAATATTGACAAAGGTGGTCAATTATGAAATTTAATTAACAAATCGTTTTCCTGCAAGAAGTGTACATGAAAAAACCACTCAAGATGCATGAAGTGGAAGTAAATATGGAATCTATCACCTTAAAGTCTTTGGAAGCATCACATATGTTCACATTCCAAATGAAAAAAGAATAAAACTTATTGATAAAAGTTAATGTATGTCTTCATTGGCTATGATTTAAGTTCTAAAGGTTACAAACTCTATAATCAAATTAGTGTCAAAACTCTCATTAGTCGTGATGTGGAATATGATAGAAAATAAAATTTGGCCCGGAGAACACAAGAAGATGAATATACTTTTCTTCTTTATTTTGAAAAAGAAGTAAATGAGCAACCAAGAATTGAATCGATTACAAGAGAAGAATCAGAGGAGCCCATCACTCCATTAATTTTAACAAGAACATATGAAGAATCAACATCAACATCTTTAAGTGAAATTTCAAATGAGAAGACACCACCATATTTTAGAAGTTTAATAAATATTTAGGAGGAAATTAATAATCAATATGACATTACTCTCTTTTGTTTTTTCGTGAATGTGGAATTTAGGCTATCAAAAAGAAAAGGAAAGCAAGAAATGGGTAGATGCTATGGATGAAGAAATTAAAGCAATCACAAAGAATGATACGTGGGAGCTTGCTACACTTTCACAAGGACACAAGACAATTGAAGTTAAATGAGTTTATAAAGTGAAAAAGAATGCTAAAGAAGATATTGGGAGATATAAACCAAGACTGGTGACTAAAAAATACAATAAAAAATATGACATTAATTACGATGAGGTATTTGCTCCTACCACTCTTCTTGAAACTATTAAACTAATAATTTCTTTGGCAGCCCAACATGGATTTAAGATCCAACATATTAATGTGAAGTTTGCTTTCTTAAATGGATTTCTTGAAGAAGTCTATATTGAATAACCTTTAGGATATGAAGTAAAAGAATAAGAAGAGAAAGTCCTAAAATTGAAAAAGGATTTATATGGTTTAAAGCAAAAACCAAGAACTTGGGATACTCAAACTGACAAGTATTTCAAAGGAAAAAATCTCATTAAATGTCCATATGAGTATGCACTTTATATTAAAGTTTGTATATATGTAGATAACATAATTTTTACAGGTGTAATCCAAAAATATTTGAGAAATTCAAAAAAAAAAAAAAACCAAGGAATTTGAAATGATAGACGATGGGTTTATGACTTACTATCTCGGAATTGAAGTAAGGCAAGAAGTCATGTGCATCTTTATCACACAAGCAGGCTATGCTACAGAAGTACTTAAGAAGTTTAAAATGGATGACTAATCATGTTGGAATTCCAATAGAAGATGGAGTCAAATTATTTAAAAATGATGAAGAAGAAAAGGTGGATCCAACTCTTTATAAAAGTTTTGTAGGACGTCTAAGCTACTTAAATTGTACAAGGCCATATATTACTTATGCGGTAGAGTAATCATTCGCTATATGGAAGTTCTAACGATAACTCATTTCAAGATTGCTAGGAGAATAATTCAATAAATTAAAGATAAAATGACCTATGATTTACTTTACTTTTTTTTTCTAACAAATATAAAATTGTTGGATATAGTGATAGCGACTGGGGTAGAGATCAAGAAGATAGAAAGATTACCAACGAATTCATAGTCTTTATAAAAGATGCTGCCTTCACCTAGGTATCGAATAAGTAACATATTGTTACACCTCTCAAATTATGAAGCTGAATATGTTGCGGCTGCTTCAAGCGTTTTTCATACAATTTGGCTAAAGAATTTATTGAAAGAAATAGAGTTTTCATAAGAAATGTCCATTGAGATACATATTGATAATAAATCAACACTTGCATTGACAAAGAATCCTGTTTTTCATAATAAAAGCAAGCACATTGACACCCATTATTACTATATAATAGAATGTGTTGCAAGAAGAGAAGTGGAGTTGAAGTACGCGATATCTCAAGATCAATCCGTGGAGATATTTTCTAAGCCACTAAAACAAGAAACGTTCATGAAGTTTCGCGATATTCTGAGAGTTAAAAATTAAGTTTAGGAGAGGTGTTAGAAATAAACTTGGTTTACGTTAGAAATAAACTTGCTTTGAATAATTAAACTTGTTGAAAAGTTTAGATTGTGAAAAGTCAATGTTAGTGAGATATGTGATGCATGTGTATGGTAGGTGAAAAATGAAGGGCTTGTTTTTTGAATAATGTGTGGTGTTGATTATTTCTAAACTTGTATATACTTTTACGGGTTACGAATCAAGTCTCAAGGAAAGTTTTGTAAGCTTCTAAATAGAGTTTGTGTGAGTTTTAAAGTTGTACTTTATGATTGTGAGTTTATAAAAATTTTAGTTTTTTCCCCAACATACCCGACTTGGCTCGATTACAACCCTACCCTCAGCAAATAAATGCTTTGCATCCTTATATAAGCCGATTTGATACACTGCAAATGGATGGCTATCACCTATTTTATAATGGCTATCACCTACTTTATAATAATTAACCTTATCATGCTAAACTTTATACATTGATGAAGCATTAAAAGAAACATATGCCCTCATAAATCTATGCCCTACCAATCAAGGCGTTATAAAAGGTGTCTGCTTCAATCCTCAAATGTACACATTGTAATGTGAAGGTAATAAAACTAAGTTACTTCTAATCCCTCCGATTTCCTTTCCCTTGACCTTGACCTTGACAGTCTAAGCTAAAATCAAATTGGGCCACATCTACATGGAATATAAGCATTTTTTACTTAAATTTCTTTCCAGGAATCAGTCTGAGCATTAGATTATAACTGAAAGCGAGAATCGAAGTAGCTCGAGAGAAACTCAAGAGGAAAGAGGCACTGTTGAAAGAAGCATTGCAGCATAAACTCTACACATGTTGAGAACTGGTTTATCCAGGAAAACTCTACAAATTTCCTCGGCAAAGCAACTATAAAATCCATTTAACTCAGTCTGAAATTTCTTGAGCAGCAGCCAGCAATCTCTAGGCTTCATCCTTTATCTTCTTAGGCTTCGTTCAAAACAGCTTCGTCGTTCAACGGAGTTCCTTTGAAAGGTGCGTTGGGGGAACCAAAAGGTCCTCCACGGTCCAAAATGGAAAAAAAAATTTGTTTTTGCAAACAACTACGGGAGATGCTTGACAATCGCTTTTTCACCAAACAAAAAATTTTTACAAGTGTCGGCGTTGCAATGGAGATTCAACGTCTTCTCAAACGAATCCTTAGCCTCAGCTCCAACTCATACGGAAGTAATCACATCCTTCATGATTTGAGTCCAAGAATGGCATATCCAAACACCTAATCAAGATACTCAAGTGTTATTTATCATCAGGTGAACTGGTCTCGACATCAATCCTCTCTTTTTGACGTCCTTAAGAAGATTTTTTAGCATTGCCACCTTCTTTTACAAAATTAATTTTAAAATGACATCAAATATTCAAATTTGTTCCTGTAACCCATAGTAGTTTGGAAACCTTGCATTAACAAATCAAATTCAAGTAACCAAGCACGATATGCCATAGAAAAATAATTTCTTTTATTTTTTATATTCCAGCACGTGTGGCTATAAGTTACCTTCTAAACCTGTCTCTGTCTTTCTATGCTTGTCCAAAAAGAGTTTTTCTTGACCAATCAACTTTCTTCGTAACTCCCAGTTGGACACCCATAGCTAATCTTCTATGGTTAAAACAAAGATAATGCCAACTATATAACTAGCCCAAAGCTAGAAAACGAGCTTCAATTTTTCTAATTAAAATCACAGGCATATTTTTAAATACAAACAGATCAAGTCAAATAAATAAACTAATGAAAAAGTAAAAAAATATATATAATTGAATTATAGTTAATTTCATGTGAAGCTTCTGTAGAGAGTAACTAGAAAATTTTTATAAAAAATAAGATTATTTTTTTCATTAAAAATACAATGAAGCAAACTAAATCACCATTTAAATTTTAAATTTAGATTTACTAATTTTTAAATCGCCATAAATGATTAAGAAAACTTTGAAACAAACAAATTTGAAAAGGATTAAAATAGTCGCCCAGACTGTTCGCAGTTGGTCATTTTAGACCCAGAATGTAGTCCGTATATTCTAAAAACACATGCCTAAATGGACTCATCGTTATAAATAATAGAAATGAAAGTTAAAGGTAATAGTTGATATTAAAACTGGGCATTTTTGAGGTTAAGATCTTCAAAAAACTTTATAAAATATAATGTACTTGCCTTATTTGAGATATGATCTATCAATAACAATCTTATTTTTTCTTACTTCATTTTCAAATGCTCTGTAATGAAATTAACGCATTTTAAATTTATAAATTTAAGCAATTATTATTGATAAATTTTCAATAAAATATTACAAACTTAAAGAAATAATTATTTATAAGTTTTTTGTAAAAATGCCAAACATAAGTTCCTAAAACACCCTCATTTTTAACTCCATCCATTAACTAGGGACTATATAAAACCCCCCCCCCCCCCCCCCCCCCCCCCCACCCCCCCCCCCCCCCCCCCCAACCCACAAAAAAAAAGCACCACCAAAAACAAGTGCTTATGGGACAATTTTGATCCTTTTCTCAAATAAAATACAAAATTATAACATTTAATAACAATTTGCTGAAACCAATAAAAAAATGGAACAAAACTACTTACAGTCTTAGCTTTAAAGCGAACCTCTTTGTTCTCTCCATTACGCAATGCAATAGTGGCCTGCAAAACAAATAGACATTGGGTAAAAATATTATTGTTCATAGATATTTGCAACTAATAACATGAGAATCATCATAGTGGAGTCAAATATTAGAATCATATTACAACCAGATAACTTCCTAAAATTAACTTTAAAGAAAGCTTTCCATAGTAGACTTAATTCATATTCTCTATGTATAAGCAACATATTTCAATAACCATGCTCGGATATACATGAATATCAAATCAAATATGCCAATTGGTGTCTTTGTTAGAGAATTATTCCAAAAATAAATATTAAATGTCTCAATTGGGAATGGATGGCAATACTGGTTTCTTTTGTCATGTAAATGTACAATGCAAATTAGTTGTAGGCGTGGGCATTAGACCAGCGGACTTGGTTGACACAACCCCATATGCACAAACGATTAGCAAAGAGATTCCATCCCCAAACTACAAATAGCCCAGTATGACCAAGGCCACTTAAACATACAGCTCAAGGTTTAGGCAGCCAAATCTCCATTTGGCTATAGTCTAGGAATCGATCTGAGAAGAGCACTGCCTTCGCTAACGAGTTCATATCGATGTTTGAATCTATGAACTCATCATTACCACCACCATAATGATTTTTAGTATTCTCTTAACATATTGTTGTTGGATTTCTACATGTGGTGCCAACAATTTCTTATGCAGGTAAGTTTTCATAGCTTCCAGCCAAATTAGCTTCAACACGACCTTTTCTTTCTTTTTTTTTGAATTTTTTTAAAATCTTTTAAATTAATTTTTGCCTCCACGTTTATTCAAACCCATGCCTCCTTTGACTACCTCAAAATATTATTTTAATAAATTCAAGTGCCCAAAAGGCACTTTAGCAATAGGAACATATTATTTGGCGTTGCGAGTAAATTAAGCATGGAAAACAAAACACAGAATAAAGATATAATCAACATATATATATATATATATATATATATATATATATAGATATATATATCTGCTGTCGTTTAGAATATA